AATATATTTGAATGCTATATAGAACATATTGACAAGAGAAGCTCCCCAACATAGGAGAGAGATCTATTATCCAAGATCTAATTCTCCTCTCATTCTTACAATTGAACTTATTGAAATGCTGAGATCTAAGTCTAGAAGTAATAAAAGATAATCCCAAGTGCTCCACAGGGAGTTGGCCTTCTGAGAACCCAATAGATGGATGATGTGATCCTTTACCTCATCTTGCACATCACATGTGTAAATATTGCTCTTGGTAAGGTTTACATGTAATCTAGAAATGAGCTGAAAATTGTCCAAAACATCCTTAAGAATCTTAGCAGAAAAGAAGTCACCATGGCAGAAAAGTAACAAATCATCAGCGAAAAGAGATGGGTGAGGTTAACTTTCTTGCATCTCCAATGATATTTAAACCCCTGCTTGAGTTAATTTTGTGGAGGACAAGGTGAGAGAAGACTTTCATGGCAATCACAAATAAATAAGGGGAGATAGAATCCCTTGCCTTAAACCCCTAGCACTTGGGAAGAATTCAGCCAAATCCCCATTCACATTAATAGAGAACTTAAGGGTGGATATACACTGTCAAATCCACTTCCTAAACTCCAATGGGAACCCAAAGGCTTCAAGAGCATCCATCAAGAAAGACTAGCTCAAAAAGTCAAAAGCTTTCTTCAAGTCAACTTTAATGGCACATCTAGGGGCACCATTACTTCTATGATAATTCCTCAGTAATTCTTGGGCAATAAGGATATTGTCGCTAATCATCCTTCCAAGAATAAAATCAGATTGATTTTGGTTAATAAGGCTTGGAAGCACACCTTTGATTCTAGAGGCAATCAACTTTGAGATGGTTTTGTAAATGGTGTTACAACATGAGATGTGCCTGAAATCTTTTATTGAAGTAGGATTAGGCACTTTTGGAACCAAAACAATGATAGTGGCATTCAACTCTTTTAGTAGCTTGCCATTAGAAAAAAAAAACTCCTTCTCAGCTTCAACAGCATCAATCCCTATAATAGGCCACATTTTCCTAAAAAAAAATAAGGGTTATAGCCATCTGGCCCTGGAGCTTTTATGGTCATTCATTGAAAAGAAGGTTTTCTTAATTTTATCACTCGTGAAGGGCATGGCCATCTCTGCAGATTGTTGGCTAGATATCTTCTTTTGAATGACTGTGTTTAAGAGACTCATCCTTTCAGTTTCAAGAAGCATTGGATTTGGCCCCAACAGTTGCTTAAAGTAGTTAATGGCTTCACGTTGGACTACTTGTTCACATACGACCACAAAATCATCTGATCTTTTGATAGAAACAATCGTCTTTTTATTTCTTCTACTGGTCATGATCTTAAAGAAGAAGCTTGTGTTCTAGTCACCTTTTTTTAGCCACAAAACCCTTGACTTCTGCTTGTACCCTTGACTTCTGCTTTTAAATATACTCTTCAGCTTTTGTAGCAAATAGATAATCAGCAAGCAACCTCTTCTCCTCTTCCCTCAACAGTAGGTTGTTAGGATTACTGTCCACGTTCCTTTGGCAGGCTTTGAGTGCAGCTTTGGTAGAGAGAGCTAATTCAGTGGAAGAACCCTTTGTGCATAAGGACTTAAGGGCAGATGACAAAGTTTGTACTTGTGAGACGCATGCATACTTACCTTCCAATTATCCTCGACAATGGATAGAAAGTCATCTCTATCAGCAATATGGTTGAAGAATTTGAAAAGAGAATGTCTTTTTTCCTGTGGGTTTCCCAACCTGACCACGCCAGGGGAATGGTCTAAAACCCCATGGGGGCAGAAACTTAGCAATTGCTTGTTGAAATTTGGTAAGCCATTCTTCATTTACCAAAATTCAATGCAGCTTTCTAGTGATCCAGTGCACTCCATTTCTATTGTAACACCAAGTGCAGAAAATACCAGAGTATCTCACGTCCTCTAGTTCAGACTCTTGTAAACATTCTTCAAACTCCATCATTCCATTATTCTACTTTCTTGAGCAGCCTAGAGATTCGCTAGGATTTCTAATACTGTTGAAATCCCCAAGGATAATCCAAGGCTCATTTTGGCGAATTCTAGCAAGCTATCTCAGATCTTTCTAAAGAACTCTTCTTTCCACCAATTCATTGGATGCATACACAATAGAGACATGCATGTTAGAATGGCTTTCATCATGTTTAACATGACAATGGATGATTTGATCTTTCATACACTTTGTACACGTTGAGGGAGTTTGTGTTCCACCCAATCCAGATACGGCCTAAGGTGTGGATCTGGTAGTTATCAAAGTAGCTCCATTGCCTAAATACATTCTGCAATATAAAAGAAGAGTTAACTTCTCTAACTCTGGTTTTCTCACTACATCAAGTTGATATGGATTAACAAGTTTCTTCACTTCCTCCTGCTTAGATGGGTTATTGAGCCTTCTAATGTTCCAACAGGCCAAACTTATCATAGGAGAAGAGCTTTACTGAGCTTAAGATGCTAAGTACCCTTTAATCTTTCCATGTCTTTGGGTTTCTTTCTCACTTTTTTCTTTTTATGAGTATGCCACTTGTTTTCAGGCTTGTGTGGACTCATAGCACTTAGGTCAGAGGCTTTATGAGGAATGCTAGAATGGGAAGGGCTAATGTCAACAACCAATTTGCCTCCTACTTCACCTAAATTCTCACTCTTATTGTCTAAAATGTTGTTATCAGGGAGATAAGTAGAAGTAGAATGGTGAAGAGTGCAATAATTAACCTGGTCCTCCTACCCAATATGCTCTTTTTCAATATGTGATGAGCTAGCAACTTGAAAGGCAAAATTTTAAGAAATTGTAGAAGGTGGTAGGTCTTCCTTCTCCACCATTACAATAGTACTGATAATGGATTTTCCTTTATCATTAACGACATGGCCAACATCCTGAGTATGAGATTTGTTCACCAGCTTACTCTTTTTGTGGTAGAAATCTTCAGAATGGTCGAAAATGTTATAGAAGTGGCAAAGCTTTGGCTTCCACTAGTACTCCACATCAATGACAACCACTTCAGGATTCCCATTAACATCATTCTTGTCCAGCTGGAGTTCAAATGAATTAAGAAGATCATACTTCGCGTTAATCTCAACACAGATTCGAGCAAAACTGATTTTGCTCTTTCTGGAGGTCAACGAATTAGCATAAATTGGTCTCCCTAAGGCACTTGCAATGTAGCTGAGACCATCATCAGTCCAGTACTGCAGAGGGATGTTGTATAACTTCACCCATGCAAGAATAATGGAATGATTTTCTTTAGAAACGACAACATCAGTCTGCCATTTCTTCAAAATTAGAGGCCTACCTTAGAACAGCCATGGCCCAGCTTTAACAACCTTAGATCTAGCCTCCTCATCTTCAAATTTGAAGAAGAAAAAGCCACGATCATTGGCCAAGACCTCCAACAATCCCATATTATCCTAAATCTTATGTGCTATGAAATTAATAGTTGAGAAAGAAAGTTTCTTTTCTATAAAGTACTTCACTAGGCAATTTCTTTGCTCAACACTACCATTGATGGCAACCTCTTTGGGGGTTTAACAATCAGTCTGTTATTAATCCTAGTTGGTTCATGGTATTGAAGTTTCATAGTAGCAAGATTATGTCCCTACTGAAAAAAGGCATGACTAGCAGAGAAATCCACCCTCTTGTCTTTCTTAACAACTTGATCCCAAGAAAGGGACATACCTGGTGTATTTTGCTAGTTAACACCCACCAAGCTAGAATGGGGAGCCTGTTTCTGGTCGAAAAGACCGTAGAATTTGTAACAGAGTTAGGATTAGGGACCACATTCATAATGCTTGCAGAGCTGGACTTTGAAGTTGGGACCAAGATCGAATCTGATGGGATAAAGAAGCTAGGACCCAGGCTTTTTGGATCAGTGGCTTATGATTTTCTCTTGAAAGAGAACCTTTGTAGTGGAGATGCCATTAAAATCGGGTGGAGGGGGGGACCAATCTCCCGAAATGGGGGTGGGATTAACAGGATGGGACCCTTGAGTAAGAGCTCTAGATTTGCAAGAACTATTATTGGTCATAAAGGTGGGAAAGTGGGTAGGTGAGATTATCAGCAAAACAAAGAGGATTGAATGTTAAGATAAGACAAGAAAAGGATGGAATAGAGGAGAAGATGGGATAGGTTTGCCATGGCCATCGGAGCAGAGAGATTCAACATTGTATTGGAATGTGTTTAAAGGAATCCATTGCACAAAGTCCTCCTTTCTCAAGTTAGGCTTGAAGCTATAGTAATTCAGAATTTCTGATGGCTAGAGAAATATATATTAGTGCATCAAGTAGCGTTTGTAATATAAAAGGTAGAGCAGTACATGAGACTCCGATAATTGTGGATCGTGAAATTTTGTAATATATTAACTGTTAACAATTTCGTGTCTCGATCTTCAACATTTTATTTGTAATTGGTTTACTACAGTGGTGCCATAGATCCGATTCAAGATCATCAATAGGTAATTCATTCCTTGAATTTATAGGTGGAAGATTTCTCATTTCTATGGGATTAAATCCCAAGTTATTGGAAGTTTTTATATAAAAAAAGATGAGGTTATGGAAGTATTGTGGCATTTTTTTTGCAATACACAACACTCTTTGACTGTTTACATCCCCATACTTAAGGGGTTAGGGATTGGACTAAGCTCGGGCCTTCGGGTTTAAAAATTAATCCATTTCTAGACGAAAATGAATAAAAACAAAGTATCTCTCCAATATTCTAACGATTATTTTCTTACATTGGACTTGAAAATCCTTTTACATAGTCCGGTGTTAGGCTTGAACAACTAATCCTCTTACCATTTCAATGTAGATAAAACAAAAAATAAAATAATAATGTCGATCATGAGGGTTAATTATAAACTAATACAACAGTTGTCAGCTTGAAGACAAATTGTGTTTTTGGAACTTGTAAGAGGCTGGTCGGAATCTTGACTAACATAGCAAATGCATAGATTAATAATAATTAATGTATGACTTGAAGCTAGGTTAGGTTCAAAGTGAATAGATGGGTGCAAGCTATGGGGGATTTTGATGATTGTGTTCAAGAAGCTGAGCTTGTTGATTTGAGGTACTCAGGGCTTTTCTTCACTTGGAGCAGTAGAAGAGAAGAAGGTGCTTGTGTTTCTAGGAAACTTGATAGAGCACTTGTAAATGAGGCTTGGATCCAGAAATTTGATAGAGCTGAAGCTGAATTCTTACCCCCGGGAGTATCTGATCATAGTCCTGCAGTGGTGAAGATTAGAGAGGAGGCGAATAAGAAGAAGTGCCCTTTTAAGTTCTTTAATTTTTGGGCTGATAGAGAAGATTTTCTGCACATTGTAAACCAGGTATGACAGAAACCTATTCAAGGATCTAACTAGTTCAAACTTTGCTTTAAACTTAAGAAACTAAAAGCAGTGTTTAAAGAAAAGAGTAGGGAAATTGGTGAGCTTACTACCGTTGTCAAAGAAAAGAAACCTTTGCTTGATAATTGCCAAAGGAGACTTGACCTTAACCCTTCAGACTCAGCACTTAGATAGGTGGAGAAACTTTTACTCAATGATTACTTGGAGGCTGCCAGGAACGAGGAAATCCTATATAAACAGAAATCCAGAATATTATGGTTGAGTGAGGGAGATAAAAATACCACTTTTTTCTTTAAATCTATGAACTGCAGAAGGAACAAGAAGAAGATTTTAAAACTTGAATCTGCTGATGGTAGAGTGGTTGATGGAGAGGAAGCAGTTAAGGGTGAAGCTATTGACTATTTTTAGAGACTTTTAGGTACTACCAGCAACCTTACTTCTCCCATAGAGAGAAGAGCATTATTAAGATCTCTACCACTTAAGAAGGTCACCGAGCAGCAAGCAAATCATATGATCAGAGATATTGAAGATGAGAAAATCAAAGAGGTGTTGCTCTCCTTTAATAATATGAAGGCTCCTGGTCCTGATGGATTTACTGCATACTTCTTCAAAAAGGCATGGCCAGGGATTGGTAGGGACTTCATAGCTGCAATGAAAGAATTTTTTAGATCTGGGAAATTACTTAAAGAGCTCAACGCCACTGTTATTGCCCTTACACCTAAAAGTCCAAATCCAAACTCAATGGGGAACTTCAGACCCATCTCATGTTGTAACTTGTTGTATAAGGTCATCTCTAAGATTCTGGAAAACAGAGTGAAGGCTGTGCTCCCAGGTATTGTAAGCTCTAATCAAACTGCCTTTGTTCAAGGAAGGAAAATTGGGGAGAATATTATGCTTACTCAGGAACTCCTTAGAGACTATCATAGAAATTGTGGTCTTCCCATATGTGCTATTAAATTGGATATTATAAAAGCTTATGACACATTGGATTGGCATTTCCTTTTGGATGTCCTTGAAGCTTTACATTTTCTAGAAACAGTGAGAAATTGGATAAGGGAATGTATTACTTCTCCTCGGTTCTCTGTTAATATAAATGGGGAGATGGCAGGATTTTTTTCAAGCTCTAGAGGGGACTTAGGCAGGGTGATCCCCTTTCACCATACCTTTTTGTTCTGGCTATGGAAGTTTTTAGTTATGTCAAATTGCAGCAAATTACCTCTAATCCCTCATTCAGGTTTCGTTGGAGATGTAGGAAGATGACTCTTACTCACCTACTTTTTGCTGATGATGTCTTATTTTTGAGTCATGGAGATGCTCAATCTACAAGAATTTTGAAAGTTATGATTGACCAGTTTCAAGTCCTCTATGGGCTTAGAGCTAATCCCTTGAAAAGCAATGTATTCATGGCTAGGATGTCTGATGAGGCAAAAGGTCAGATTACTAATATTCTAGGATTCCAAATTGGTGCTCTTCCTATGAGATATTTGGGTATCCCCTTGGTGTCCACTAAATTCAAGAGACAATATTGTGATGCTCTGATGGAAAAAAGGGAGGCTAGGGTGAAAAATTGGACCAACAGGTTTCTATCCTTTGCTGGAAGGCTTTAATTGATTATCTCTGTGCTCAATAGCACCCAAAATCTCTGGTCAGCCCACATTTTTATTCTCCAACAAATTCTCGATAAATTAGAAAGAATGCTTAGATCATTCCTTTGGAAGGGGACTGATCTCAAGCCTACTAGAGCCAAAGTGGCCTGGGTGGACATTTACAGACCTAAGAAAGAAGGGGGATGGGGGATTAGAAGACTTAAGGAGACGAATATGGCAATGATGATGAGGTATTTGTGAATTTTATTTACAGACAAAGAAAGTCTTTGGGTGAAATGGATTCATTCTTACCATTTAAGAGGGAAAAGCATTTGGGAAGTTAAGCCACCTCACTCTTGCTCTTGGAATTGGCTGAACCTCTTGAAACTGAGACCAATAGTTAGACCTCTAATTCAACATGTTATTGGTAATGGAGAGAGTACTAGCCTTTGGTTGGATAATTGGCACCCTCATGGTCCTCTTCTACTTAGATGGAGTGATAATATTATTGATCATGCAAGGTTACCTAAGGATGCTAACGTGGCTGCAATCATGGGCAACAATAGGTGGTCATGGCCTTCCACAGGTACACCTAATCTCTTGGAGATTTCAAATCATATGCCTACATATATTCCTCTAACAAATAAGGAAGACCAGATGAAGTGGACTATAGCAACAAATGGACAATTTTCTTCTTATTCGGCTTGGAATCACCTTAGGGCCCTTGGGCAAGAGGTACCTTGGCACCATCTGCTGTGGTATGGACAATGCATACCAATGACGAGTTTCATTCTTTGGCTAGTAATAAAGGAAAGGCTTAGCACTAAAGATAGAATGCAAAAATTTGCATCGGATGTTGATGTGATATGTATCCTATGTAGGCATGACATGGAATCTCATTCTCACCTCTTTTTTAGTTGCTAGTTCTCACAAGATATTTGAATTTTTATTATGCAATTGTGTGGTGAACAAGGTCTACCAAGCTCTTGTTAGAATTTTGTCGATTATGCAAGTCAAAGTTGGAAAGGTAAGTCACTTGGTAAGGTGTTAAAGAAGCAGTGCTTGGCAACTACTGTGTATATAATATGGAAGGAAAGGAATAAAAGACTCCATACAAACCAGTTTAGGGACTGTAGAAGTCTTGTGAAGTGTGTCTTGCCAATCATCAAAGATAGATTAGTCACAATCAAATTCAAGAGTTCCCCCAAAAACTTGTCATTCTTTTAAGCTTGCCAGCTTCTTGTTGTGGCTTAGGTTCAAATGATATGTGCTAGGAATGTCTTGCTTTTGTGGATGAGGCAGGAGTTGTTGCCTATTCTGCGCACTAGGGTGCCCTTATACATGATGATCATGGTTAATCGCTGTTTGTTGTGCTGGTTCTGGGGACATTTGCTTTGGGATGGATCATGTGCACTGTTTACATGCATTGTTCAAGTGCACAGCTTGTTTAATGCAGCTGCTAGCCTTTCTCCTCTGTTTTCTTCTTTCTTCAGTAGAGTGTTGATGACCTTTATCTATTGTTTTAGCTGGTTCTCCTCAGCTGCCTTTTATTATGGTGTCTGCTGCCCTTGGTTTGCTGCCTGGTCTCCATTGAAGCCTACCACAATCGCTGGGCACCGTTCACGGCTTTCTTGTTTCACTGCTCTTTGAACGTTGCCTTGATTGATGCATGTTTGCTTTGTTATGAGGAGTTCATCCTAAGAGCATGAAAGGTTCTTCTAGCTCCTTCATCCATTTGTTCTCCCACTTGGCTGTTGGCATGTATGCTGGCATTAGGCTTTCCATATTATCTAATGGAAGCCTCTTTGCTTTCTTTGTCTTCTTTGAGTTTGGATCCTGCTGGAAGTACCAGCTCAAGGCTGGCACTTTCTTTAGAATTCTACACTCTTGGTTGTTGTAAATCTTTTGGTTCTACTTTTGTATTGGGTGGATGCATTGTCATGTGAGCATCACCTCTGTTTTTTTTCTTATGAATATATTTACCTTCCGTAACTTAAGGCAATCAGGTTGAAGAAATGTTTAATGGAACTTAAACAAAGAACAATGTTTTCGGAAAGTAAATGTGTTAAGAGAACAAAATGTACAATGAGGTCACGTAGGACTCAAAGCCAAAACAAAAAGCCAAAGCTTCAAGACACAATTCTATAAGAGATGCCAAAATTGAAGGTATCCCCCACAGAATTGTTTACAAAAGAATACAGTAGACAAACGGACAAGAGATGCCCTAATGAACAATAAAAAAGGGAATCCATATGAACAGAACCAGCAGATGGAACCCAGTCACATCAGATGGACCAGCTATTGAAGAAATCCAGCAATCCAAAACAAGAGAAGCAGTGAGGACCCGATCAACAACCCAAAACAGAAAATAGTCTAGCAGAAGAGAAGCCAGCAGCCCAAAACCAGCAGAAGAAGGATAGCTGAAGCACCAACAATCACGTGAATAGTGACGTGAACAGTGCAGCCCAAACGCAGGAACCCAATGTTGAAGCAGAAGTGGCAGGCAGCCAATAAAAGCAGGAACGAACCATCAGGGGAAAATGCAGAACATCCCTCCAACAAGCCCAAGAACAAAGGACTAAGAAATGAAGGGTCAGACACCTTCATAAAAGCAGCACATGCACCATCAAAGAACAGTAGAAACCACCATGAAGCGCAAGAGAGACGAAGAAGAGGTAAGGAAGTGCGGTCATCGTAATACAAAGGTCCGCAAGAAAAATAGAGAAGATAGCCCGGGGAAGGTGGTCCCGAGCCTTCCAAGAAAATGCTTTGTCTGACACAACGGCTTTGCCTTGAAGGTCCACCATAGGAACCAGAGAGCACCTAACCGCAACACAAGAACAACAGCATGGAGTGATGTGAACAATGCCCAAAACAACAGAAACCACATCAGAGCAGAACAAATAAGAGCCCCAACAATGTTGTGAACAGAACACCAACCACACATCGAGCAGAAGACCACAGTCCTAGGATATCACAGATACAAAATTGAAAATGCAAAAATGAATGTAAGACATGTATAAATGAACCACATAGACATTACATGAAGCCATTGAATGTGTGAATGAAATCATATTCCTGTAATGCTATAACAAACAAGCCATCCATAACAAACAACCACAAAAAGAAGCCCAGCAGCCTTATGCCAACAACACATGAGGGACAGAGCAACATGCGTAAGAACACACCACCCATCAGCTCGATCAGAAAAACCAAGGAACCCAAGAAAATGCTTCTACAGAAACCCAAACAAGCAATATGTGTGAATGAAACCATAATCCAGTAAAGCTATAACAAACAAGCCATCCAAAACACACAACCACAAAAAGAAGCCCAGCTGCCAAAGACCAACAACACATGAAGGACAGAGCAGTATATGTAAGAACCCACCACCTATCAGCGTGATCAATAAAACCATGGTACCCAAGAAAATAGGACATTTGAAACACCAACAGGACCAGCAAAGTAGAGTCCAAAAAAGGGGAAAACCACAGGGGAACCAGTAGGGAAACCACAAAGAAAAATAACTAGGTGAGGCAACTAGTTAGAAGTCTCCAATGCTGGATAGTGTGGAGATTTCTATAGGAGGACTTGAAATTAAAGGGAGCAAATCTACTTCACATAGTCTGTAGAATTAAATGGGTAATAGAAAAAGAGTCCTTAAATTTGATTCTAAATTTTATATTATTCCTCTCCATCCACAAGTGGTAAACAGTGGCTGCAAGGCAGAGTCCGCATATCAGATACTTCATTGACTTACCCTTCCAGTTAAGAGCAGCCCAAGCAACAAAGTCATTCCAAGGCATAGGTTGCCATAACTCCCTAGCAAATGAGAGAGTAGCAAACCAAACACTAGAGGAGTAAGGGCATGCAAAGAAAAGATGAGAGTGAGATTCGGGAGAGGTCATGCATAAAATACATCCAACACCAAGGTGAGCAGCGAAGGATTGCATGCGGTCAAGAGTACTTAGCTTGTTCCTAATAGCAAGCCACAGGATGAAACTCATCTTAGGAATGGATCTATTTGACCAAACAAGCTTATACCAATAGACAGGAGAGTCCCTTGATCTAATATGATTCCAAGCAGAATAGGAGCTAAATCCCAGTCTACCATTAGGGATCCAATTGATAGAGTCCTCAAGGGCAGAGTTAGGAAAATAAGAAGGCATGGAAGTGACCACATCGTGAGGAGGGATGGAGAAAAGTGGCCATTGCCATAGATCATTGTTGATAACACTGCTGACAGGTTCGTCCAAATTGAATAGAGAATTATCAATACCATTCATACCAACACATAAGTCCAGGGAAACCATTAGATGCCAATTATCATACCAAAGCTTAGTTGATTGACCATTCCCAATATCATGCTTGATAAGAAGCCTGGTTGAAGACCTTAGTATGAGCAGACACAACCAGTTCCAAGAATAGGTTTGAGAAGCTTTAACTCTCCAGAAACTTCTACCCCTTAAGTGATAAGTATGGACCCATAACACCCACAAATTTTGCTTATCCGTAAAAAGCAACCAAATGTACTTCATCATCATAGCAAGGTTACAATCTTTGATTCTTTTAATACCCAGACCACCCTCCTCCTTGGGTTTACAAACATCATCCCATGAGACTTTAGCACCAATGCTCCTCATTTCAGTCCCTTTCTAGAGAAAATGCCTCATAAGTTGTTCAATTCTGTCAATGATCTGTGGAGGCAGGAATAAATGGGCAGACCAGTAAGACTGCATGCTGTGAATGACACTGTGGATCAAGGTCAGTCTGCCAGCAAAGGACAAAAATCTGTTAGTCCACGAGCTAATTTTCTTCTCGATTTTAATGATGAGCTCATTACAATGGAGTGATTTCAAGTGAGTGGATATCAGTGGGATGCCCAAGTACTTGACAGGGAGCTGATTCAGAGGGAAGCCGAAAAGATGCACAATTTGGTCTTTAGTCTCATTACGGATAACACTCATAAAGAGACTACTTTTAGCCTAGTTGACTTGCAGCCCAGACATAGCTTGGAAGTGGTCCAATGAAGCCTTGAGCACATTGGTGGAAAGGAAGTCCCCATGACAAAAGAGCAAGACATCATCCGTAAACATAAGATGGGTGAGCTTAACATTCTTGCATCTCTAGTGGTACTTGAAGGAGTCGTTAGAGGAGACATGATGCTTAATAGTGAGAGAGAATACCTTCATAGCAATAACAAAAAGGTAAGGGGATATAGGGTCTCAACCTCTCATGCTAGGGAAGAACCCAACAAGCTCACCATTCACATTAACAGAAAACTTGGGAGTAGAAATGCACTGCCAAACCCAGTTCCTAATTAGTAAAGGAAAACCCAAAATCTCAAGGGTATCCATTAAGAAACCCCAATTGATAGTATCAAAGGCTTTCGTCAAATCCACCTTGATAACACACATAGCAGCACCCTGATTTCTATGGTAGTTTCTAAACAATTCTTGAGAAATTAAAATATTTGTCACCGATCCTTCTGCCAAGGATAAAGGCAGCTTGGCTATGGTCGATGATATCCGTAATAACTTTCTTGAGCCTAGAGGCAATGAGCTTGGAGATAGCCTTATAGATGGTGTTACAACAAGAGATTGGTCTAAAGTCATTCATAGATGTGGGATTAGGCACTTTCGGGACCAGGGTGATGATGGTAGCGTTGAGTTCCTTAAAAAGCAAGCCATGAGCAAAGAACTCCTTAACAGCACCAGTGACCTCCTGCCCAATGATAGGCCAGGCCTTCTTAAAGAAATATGGGTTAAAATCGTTAGGTCCAGGAGCTTTATGGTCGCTCATAGAGAAGAAGGCCTACTTGATTTCCTCGTTGGAGAACCCCCTAAGCATATACCCAGATTGCTGGTTTGAAATTTTCCTTTGGACGATGGAGAGAAGATTTCTGCTTCTCTCACTGTCTGGCATGGAGTAACAAGGCTTTCCCAGGAGAAGCTTAAAGTAATCAATAGTCTCAGTCTTGACCTCCTCTTCACTGTTAGTGAGGGACCCATCCATTCATTTGAGAGGGGTAATTTTCTTCCAATTTCTTCTATTAATCATAGATCTGAAGAAGAAGTTAGTGTTCTGGTCACCCTCCCTAAGCCACAGTATCCTAGATTTTTGCTTAAAGATCAGCTCCTCATCTTTAGCAACCTCTAGATAAGAAGCCAAAAGTCTCTTTTCCTCCTGAATCAGGTTATGATCAGAAGGGTTCCTATCAATATTAATCTGGCAATTCTCAAGAGCAGCTTTGGTAGTTTGTACAAGCTCAGTGTTGTGCCCTCTTTCCTTGCAAAAGTTCTTAAAAACACTTTTGAGCCTCTTTAGCTTGGATAAAAGTTTAAATTGGAGAGATCATTGCACACTAGTCACCCAAGCTTGTGCCACAGTATCTAAGAAGTTCTCCTTATCAGCAAGGTGACTGAAGAACTTGAATGGAGTCCTCCTCCGCCTAGCATTGCTACCCATCTTAACAACAGCCAGAGAATGATCAGAGACACCAGATGGGAGAAATTCAACAGTAGCCTGGTGAAAAATTGTGTTCCAAGCATAATTAACGAAGACCCTATCTAGTTTCCTTGTAATAAACCTTGTTTCTTCTCTCTCGTTTCTCTAGGTAAAGTGCAACCCAGAATATCTCAGGTCCTCAAGTTCAGAGTCCTGTAAGCAATCTTCAAACTCCAGCATTGCGTTAGACCATTTCCTTGCACAACCCACAGATTCGCTAGGGTTGCTTATAATGTTAAAATCCCCAAGGATGATCCATGGTTCATTGCTGAAGAGAGAGGAGTGGTATCTGAGGTCAGCCCATAGCGGCCTTCTGTCCACTATTTCATTCATGGCGTACACAAGAGAGACGAAAAAATAGGTGTTGCTCTCAATATGCTAAACATGACAATGTATGACTTGGTCAGATTCAACACGTTTAGTAACGTTAATAATCTTTGGATTCCATCCAATCCAGATCCTCCCCAATGTGTGGCATTGGTAGTTGGCACAGTAGCTCCACTGCCCAAAAACATGCTGCATAATAGTGGAGTAATTAACACTCCTAGCTCTAGTTTCAATGACACCCACCAAATCCATATGGGATTCACTAATAAACTTCCTCACCTCCACCTGTTTAGAAGGCTTATTAAGCCCTCTGATATTCCAATAGGCAAAATTAATCAGGGAGGAGAACTTTGCTGAGTTTAAAGTGCTCAGCCCCTTTTAATTTAGTCTCAGACTTAGACTTCTTCTTTGCCTTCCTCACCTTTATCTTTTCTTGAGTGATCCACAGATTCGTAGAATCCACTAGGGTATTATTCTCCACTTCTCTAGTTTTAAGATAAGCAGGGCTAATATCAACAACAATGGACCCACCATCTAAATTAATAGTGGTATCCATTATAGGTACATGGTTACCTTTATCCATGTCAGGTGGACTGGGGGGAGTAGCAAGATCCTCAGTCACAGCCTTACCCTTGATGCCATTCAAGCTATCTGAGCTGCTGGCCAAATACGAGGGAGACACCACGGCATTAGGATGGAAAGACTCCTCCACCTCCACCACCATAGTAGAACTAACTATGGATTTACCTTTGTCGAGGCTAGTTGTCCCTTAAGCAAGAGGAACAGGAACATCCAGCCTATTATCTGACTGTTTATAGCAGTTAGACTGGTTATGCCCAAAAGTTTGGCATCCAAGACAGACCTTGGGTTTCCATTGATACTCAACCCCAATCTTAACCATAATAGGGTAGCCACTTTCATTACACCTTTCCAGCTGAAGGTCGAAAGACTCAGTCAGATCTCGTTGAGCATTGATCTCCACACAAACGCGAGCGAAACTAATCCTCCTCCTTGTTGCAGTAAGAGAATCAGCATATAAAGGTTTGCCAATCGTGCTTGCAATGTAGCTGATACCTTCATTAGTCCAGTACTGCAAGGGGATGTTATACAGCTTCACCCAAACAGGAATGACAGAGTGATCCTCCTTAGAGACAGCAACATCTGACTGCCACATCTTAAGGAATAATGGCCTACCTTGGAAGAACCATGGGCCAACTTCCAACACATTGGTTCTTGTCTTCTCGTCCTCAAATTTGAAGAAGAAAAAATCATGTTTGTTAGCCAGCACCTCCACCAGTCCCAAATTATCCCAGATCCTATGGGCAATAAAAGACACAGTGGAGAATGAAAGTTTTTTCTCGATGAAGTATCCCACAAGACAATTCTCCATAAGGTGCAACCCTTACTTGTAACCTAAGGAGGGGGATGGACAACAACACGGTCATTGACCCATTTTGGTTCAAAGTATTGTAGTTTCATTAAGTCTTGCTCGATCCTGCTTGCTTCTGGGTTAGGGCGATTCCTTCCATACTTCAGCATTTGATTCCACAGGATATTTGTTGTAGATTTAGGCTAGACAGCAGGGGTTTCCCCTATTTTAGTAGGGATCTTTGACTTTTGAAGCTTGTTGGTTGGAGCAGTAACACTCTCTACCAAATCAGCATTAATGGGGGCATTAACCTCCACGCACAACAAATCCTTTTGCTGGGTGGGCGTTGACATCACCTTGGATTGGCAAGTTGCAAAAGTGGAACAATAGGGGTGGCAATCATTGCCCAAAGTGGGCTGGACAACGGGATCTGATATCGAAGGTGCCAAAACACACATCGCTGTGCAGGAGGCGTCAGCCCTAGGGTTTGAAATGGGGATTGAAATGGGATTTGGGTCCATTGTAACAAGAACTTTGATGGGGGAGGGAGGCTAGATTTGGGATAGAGAAGAGGGTGGGGATCCATCGAGAGAGGAGAAGCAGGGGAAGAGAAGGGGGTTAGGAGCTTCCATTATTCTTTTAGGATGGTAATGTTGGGATAACAAAGAACAATATTACATGAACCTAAAAAGTATACTTAAAAAGTAGATTTGATAATTACAAATATTGATATTCAATGATTGTGATTATTAAGTTTAATTTTTAAGTCCATGAAATATTTTCAGAAAACAAATTACTCCTATAATCATAATCATCAGTCATTTTTAGTTCTGCGACTCATTTCTGCATGCAAACTTTGGATTCACACAAACTTTTACAAATTACACATATTGGGTTAAGTGAGGTATAGTGCTAGGGAGAATCAAATATAGACGTATGAATTTAAACTTCTCTCTGTGTTCAACCAATCAATGAACTAATGGCGAGGATTGTGATCTCCTAACTATTTGATGATACGTATATAATACCCTTGGCAACGAAAGAGCTACCACAAACCAATGTTTGATCATTGGGCATAGCTAGGTTTTGATAATTCCAAACATAGGTTCAATTAATTGGGGTAATCTAATCCATTGATTATGTTCTTCCATGAATTTTATTCACAAATCCTATGTCCACGACATTGGAGTGAAATTTTCATAAGATTTAACAATAATATGATTTCTAGAAGTTACAAAACAGTATAATTTGCATTCCACCAATGCGGCCATAAAATATGGACAATTTTGTCTCCATTTATTGCCTTTTCTGGTAGATCCAGTCAAACTGATACTCTTTGTTTTGGTAGGTAATTCACACAGGCTCCAATCAGGTGTAACTATAATGGATGGCTAATGAGGTCCACTGCTTCATAATTAATCAGCATTCATGGAAGGAAATTTTTTACATGTTTTTCATTATTTTGTGATTAAAAAATGTCAATGTTAGCTTTGTTGAGTTCTACTTATTTTAGGCTGAAAGAAAAGGGTATTGACAAGAGAAAGGCTCCAATAATCATCGCATCCCTCACTTGGTTTTCAGTATACTATTGGAATTACTACAAATAAGATTAAACTATAAATTAGACTGTTGAGGTTAATGCGAAATAGGGTGGGGATCTATCTTAATATTTAAGGATTTATTCTAAAATATTAGAATCCATTCTTTAATATTGAAATTGATCATTATATTCCATTTTTTTTCTTGGTCGTAATTTTGATATCATTGTCCAATAAAGTGATCTAAATGAGTTATAACTTACCCTTATTTGGTTATAACTTTTAATTCGTACCTTCTTTGATACTATTGTTATTCATATTGAGAGGTAAATAGCATAACACATGATGAGAAGTTCACCTTTCATAACATTAATCTTTCTCAGAGTAACAACACAATCCATATGAAAAATCTACATGAATTCTATTATGTACACAAAACACAAATTAACTACTCTCTATCTATCTATTTATCTAATTTGGATATGAAGAAAACGAATTCATGGGTATACAAGCAGAGTTCTTCCATGCCTTGGCATGCAATTTAAGGATCTCTCTAGCTCTTTCCTGGGTCTTGCTACCACAATCCACTTGAAGCACCAGGCAAAGCTTTGCCACCACACCCAGAGTCAGCATCTCTTGAAGAACACTTGGAGTTGCAGAAAACTTCGAAACAAAAACTAGAATCCTTACAGCCCTTTCAGTTGCCATCTTTGAAACCCTAAGTATCTTCTTGGACACAATTGCTAACCCAGCTCCATGGTTCAACAACTCGGCTCTTCCCTCTGCACACTGGCACAGATGATCCAACACCACTAGTATCATTTCACAGTCCCTTTTCTCATGGGCTTCGAGTAAAAGATCAATCAATTCTGGCACTGCGCCGGCTTGGACTGTTTTGACTCTGTTTCTTCCCCATGGACAAACATTGATCAGTAGTTTCAGTGTATTTTTGGTGGCTTTGTGAGAGATCTGATCCTTCAAGACTTGGACTAATTGAACAAATAATTCTGGTTTCAAACTCATCAGCTGCATTGGATTCGCCACTTCGAAGACCGATATCAATAACAAAACAGAATAAGTTCTCGATTCGAAGTTCCCACGTTGCATGATCTGTGTTAAGGAGTCAATGAATTCACCATTTTGGCCGGAGAGAGACTTCAGTCCAGCTTCTGATAATTCAAGATAATAGAGAATAATTAGGGCTTCATCACTGGCTTTTTTGAGATCAAACCCATCTTCTGATTCTTCTGATACTGATGATTCGATGGTGTTGTTTATGGTTGAAGCTAAGAACTGTACGGCTCCCGTGGCTTCCATGCAACGTTTGTTTGCCTCACTTTCAGAAGCTAGTGATTTCAGTTTTTCGAGACATTTCATTTGTAGTTGTGGAGATTTGGCTTCACGGAGAAGCTTCGCCATCTGGGCTTTATTGATCGGGGGCTTTGGTGTTGGGAATCTTTCGATGCCATAGGAGGCGTTTATGGCGCACCATGACTGGATCAGTCGCCGGAGAGTGATGTTCGGCGTCAAATCGGAATCGGAGATGACTTGTTTAGTGACTGGGCACTCACTGTTTTTCTCAGAAAATATCCATTTCTCGATGCTTTCACGATCATATGTTATGCCCGTTGAGACTGTGACTGGGTCCTTCATGATGTCTAGAGAAATGGGGCAGAGAAAAAATGGAGGAACTTCAACTTCACCCATTAGAAGACTTCCCAAGAAGATCAAGATTCAGAAATCTAGGGCAAATATAGGAAACACTTAAAAGTCTTAAAAGAGAAGAAGATGTGGAGAAGTTGAACTATATCAAACACCCAGAAGGGTTAGCTGATCAGAATGGTAATATAAAGGGAAGCTTTAATTTCTTTGTTTAAATGTAGGAGGTGAAGCTGTTGGGGAGTTGTGAATTGGTTTGAAGATGTTAGGAGTAGGGAGGGATTGGTTTTATATGTGGAGAAGAGAGAGAGGTTCAAAATTAATGTCGAAGTCAAAACACGGAAAAAGCAGCGTAGAGAGAGAGGGAGAGAGAGGGAGAGATGACTTTTGGTGTCGAAAGGCTCAAGAATGACTACTTTCACCGAGTCATGAGATAGGGTGTCTCTGTGTTGGCAAAGCGTAGAGATGGTAAAAGGTCTGTTGGCCTTTGTTACCATGACCTTTTGACTTTCTCTCTCTAAATATATATATGATTTTCTCTCCCTAACTCGTGCTTGTTTTGGGTAAATGCCTAGAGTTGGCGACAGCTACTCGTGGTGGGGGCTATTGTCCATTACTGTTTCTTAATTGGCTGCTGCGACTTTTTCACTCTCTATCCTCCTACTTGGCCTTGGCTGTTTCCAGCTCCTTTGACCAACTAATTCTGGCCTGCTTTATGATACAGAGAACTTTGTGTGCTCCATGAATCTGAACTGTTCATCCACTAACAATAATATTATTTTGAACTAACTTCTTAACCTAATTTTTAGTTGGTCTATACTTTTGAAGTGCGATCCTTTGCATTATAATTAGTTGATTGTTTATCGTAATAGTGATTATCAAAATATATGTAAAAAATGATTAAATACTCAATCATATGATCAAGTAAAATTTTAGATAAGAGTCATGCCGAAATACTAAGAGATCTAATTAGAATTAATTGCCACCTAATTTTTCCAATGTTATGGCTAGTGGCGGAGCCACCACTGGCTGTGGTGGGGGGGGGGGATGGGAGGGGGCACATGTCCACCCTCAAAGAAATTTTTTTGACATTATTTACGTACAAATTAAATATTTTTATACAAATTTAATAAGGACAACCCAATTAATTTCTTGTGATGTCGATTAAAATGGGCTCATAAATAACATGTTTTGGACGCATTCGAATTGGTGTTCTTATTGAAAATAAAATTTAGACTAAAAAACAAAGGATATATCTATTAGTTTACATACTAGTGGCTTTGATATTGATTTTATGGATTGTAATTTTCATTATAAAAAAAGTATTTTTAATAGTAGAGAATATAAAAACTATATTATGTAATCAAATTGGTAATAAGAGTATACCTGATAATGTGATATTATATATACCAAAAGATATTCTTGATAGTATTTATAAAGAAATTATTATGCAATATTTTCAAATAATAAAAATTTATTGGAGTCAATTGAAAATGACTATAATTAACCTCATTTTTTTATAAAATATTAAAATTAATCTTTTTCATTTTTCATTTGTTTGTTTGTATGCTCCATATGTACTAATTTTTGCCCCTCTTATGTTGAGTGATTTTATTGTGTCCATTTTTTAAATAAATATAAATGTATCATTCTACTTAGCAAAAAAAGAAACTAAAACTTGTTAAAGTGTCCACCCAATCATTCTACTATTTTTCTTGGCAATATCATTCTACTATTTTTCTTGCTACTTATGTATATAAAGAATAACACAATCTTACAAGCTTCTCACCATAGCCTTAGGTAAGTATTTTTGATGTGGACCATTAGATCATGATCCAACGTTCACTAATTAAAGATACTAAACATTAAATATCAAAATTTGCCAAATTATGTTTTGAACTAAAAGGGAAACTATAATGCCATATTAATTACAGTCTTAATGTCATTAAGAAAAAAACAAAGAAAAGGAAATGCAATTATCCTTACTTAATATTATTTCTTTTAATTAAGAAATAATGAAAAAAGGTAAAAAAGTAGAACTTTTTATAATAATTACCTTTTTATAATAATAAAATTCTTAAGGATTTTTGTGATTCTTTAACAGCGACAAGTATCACAACATGACTGTTCGATGTGCATGCACCATCGAACAGAAGTTAATATTGAATTTGACTCTAAGATGTTGATTGAAGCTATCCAAGGAGGGCGAGCATCATTGTTAAGAGTGGTTGAGCCTATTCAAAGGGATATTTGGTTTTACTCCAATAAAATTTCTTAAATCAAGTTTCAATTTGTGAATCGACAAGCTAATCAATTAGTTTATCTGGCTGCAACTCAGGCTCGAAAGAACAACTTATCCCTTCACGGGGTGGTTTGTCTTTGGGAGCAGCTAAGGAGACTCGTACAAAAGGAAGCAAGAGAGGGTACTGGTTGAATAATTGTTTTGTCCTTATTTTTTTGGTTGTTTGATGTATCTTTGTTTCTCAAGAGACATAAAAAAAGAAGACAAGTATCACAAATTGATCATATAGCATGGAAACCAAATTGCATAATACTCCTACTCAAGTGATTGTGGTCAAATTACCTAACCAAAGTTGATCACAAAGAAATAGGGCGATTTGATCACATAAAATCTATGTTTAATCACAAAAAATAAAACATAAGTTGAACACAGAAATATATGATTGATTTGCCATCAAATAAACTTTTTCTTCCTCTTCTGTTTATTTTGTTTTTCTTCTTTGTCAACGTGAAAATCTTGACAGACCAATGAATATTTTATTTTCATTCTTTGTAGAAGATTTCATCTTATTACAGGACTAATTTACCTTCCTTATATGATAAAAACAATGATTAATATAATCTTATAGTTTCCTTATTAATTCAAAATGAAATTTGGTAAGTTTTAATATTTAATATTTAGCATCTTTAATTGGTGAACGTTGAATTATGATCTAATGGTCCGCATCAAAAGTACCTACCTAAAGCTGTGGTGTGAAACTTTTATAATCGAGCTACTATATATATAATTCAAGAAAATTAATGTCACTAGCAAAAAAATGATTTAACATTCTAAATAGTGATCATAATGAAGTGGGTGCGGCTGAATTGATAGTACTATTTCCTTTATTATCTACTTTTAATTTCATAACGGATAAAATTCACCATGTCTAGAGTTTTTTTAAAAGTCAATGACTGGTCTAATAGCCACCTTGTGCCTTCTTGTAATAGTATTAGTTATTTCTCATTTGAAAAAAGGATAGACGAAACAACATAAAACCAAGATTACATTAATGCATCAAGTGCGTGGGGTGGATTGGTGGAATTTTCTCTTTAAGGAGAAAAAACGAAAAGTAAAGGGCAGAGTGTACGATGAATGTGCCACATTTTTTCTTTTTATTTTCATCTTTGTTTTCTTACTTTGCGACCACTTATTAGTTGCGACTTTTCTACACCTTGTTTTGTACTTTCAATCACTTCGATAAAGTTTACACTTCAAACATGTCTGGGGGGAACAATTTATTCAGCAATTTGTCAATTATAAAAAAGTCAATCCTATTGCTTAACCTATAACATTGATTTTTTGGCATGCCCCTTAATGATAGAGTAGCTTGTTTGACCCGGTAGGTTGGGTAGAATGACCTCATGGATTATTATCTTAACATGGTCAAGTTGAGGGTTATAAAAAACATTATTGTTAACACAATACACATAAATTATTTGATTGAATGTGTCCCGAATTTACATAGTAACCAATGAGACCAAGGCTTTTTGGTTTGATTGGTTCTCAATTTGTAAAGATGTGCGACCGGATTAGAATAGGTCTTTAGTTTTTAAGTTGGAATAGAACAAATAAATAACTAAATGAAAAACCTTTTAGGTCCCCACTAAATAGAAGAAATAGAAATAAAGTACATGGAAAGAAGCAAAAGAAATAAATTTTGTCTGAACTACATTCGTTTGTTAATTCTGATTTCTAGTATTCTTGTTTGGAAAGAATAAAAAGAGTATGGAGTTAAGCACAAGAAAAGAGATGGCCCCAGTGTACATTTTCACCTTGTGGAATAACTAACATTTGATTAATGTCAACTTAAGTGGCCGACTATTATTTGAGCAAACCCCTTGGGGTTACTTGTTCTATACTTTGGATAAGGTGAAACTGTGACAAGTTAATACAAACCCAACTCAAAGACATTAAGTATTTTGGAACAAAATTTCTAGCACTCAACTTGATTTTGAGCAAAACATTTCAACTCAGATTTTAGTTTGGGTAGAACTCAAGTTAGAGTTGTGGGTTTTGCAAACTTAAGGTGAATTCAACTTCAATCAAACATGAATTTCAAATTGAGTTCTTCAACCTTAGAATGCAATAACAATTGAATTTAAATTTCGACGCATGAAATGACTCTAAAAAATCTAAGCATGTGTAATACTCGAGTTAAAGAATTATAATTAAAGATTGGATTGAGTGGAACTCAAATTAAAAATTATAAATCGAGTTTAATATAAATCGTCTTTTCAACCAATCTAATCCGTCCCAATTACGCCTCCAGTTTTGCTCACATTAAGTGACAATCACTCCTTTAAGGAATTTTTTCAAACACGTGTTTTAGTATCCAAAGAATACAATTTGCACAAGATGAAAGTCTTCAAAGTTCATAATTGCATGCCATTAATTCCACCAAGAGTTTGTGGCCAACAATTTGCACCTTTTTCATTCTCCCTTATGCTATGGGGGCCCTCAAATTTTGGAATTATATATTATTGTGTTAAATATTTTTTAAAATAATTTTATTACGTCCACCCTAATATTTTCGTATAAGCTAAAACAAAAAAATTGAGCATATATTACGGACACGCTTCAAATATGTTGGGATATAGTTTAGACATATTGAAACTCATTTTTTGTAATTTTTTTGAAATAAAATTATGAGCTTCTTTAAATGTCGAATCAAAAGTGGGATTATTATGTGATAAAATATAGGATTGTTTTATAATTTTTAGTGTCTTTTATATGACTTTTTTTTTTGTTAAATTTTAAGATTAAT